CACATCCTCGAGGGCTTAAACCACAGGGTCCTAAGCTGAAGAGGACAGCTTGGTGGCATGGATTTTAGTTGGCAGAAAGACAAGGAAATGATGAGAGGGCACCATCCTCCTCTCCAGAGGAAAGCCTGAGAGGACACATTCTCTTGACCCTTCATCCCTTTGCTAGGCATGAAATTTCTCCCAATTCCTGATTCCTTCCCTTGGCTCCCACTTGCCACCCATCAGCAAGTGCCTGATGAGCTGTGTCTGGAAAGGCTTCCTGTGGTCTCCCAGCCAGAGCGAATCCACTTCTGCTTGCTAGAGCATGTGCTGTCACAGCTATGCCACCCAATGCCACACTCTGTTAGACGCGTCTCTTCCTGCAGGCGTGGCTCTCATGCTCCCAGGAGAAAATGCAGACCTGTTATCCAGTGCTGTATGCCAAGCACTGGGATCCATGTGGTGAGAGATGAAGAGGAAATGGTCCTTGGGCCACAAGGAGGGTCTTAGCCTGGGGTCTCGGCCTCATTTCTTATTCATTCACTCATTCAATCATTCAAATACCTCCTGAGCACCAACTATACGCTAGACACTGTGCTGGGTGTGGGGTGCTGTGATTTAAGCCAGCACATTCCTCATGGAGCTCACAGAGCTCACATCCAGCAGCAGGGGAACAGCAAGCAGAGGTCCCAGCCTTGGGTGACAGAGGAGGGTGGGGGGTGCGATGCTGGGGAGATGCATAGCCCTGGCAGGTGGGAAGGCTTTCTGAAGGAAAGAGTGTCTAGGCCAAGTGCCAGAGGGTGAGGAGGGGAAAGTCAAAGGGAAGAGGTCGGGGGTGAGGCTGGGAACGGCACATAGAAAGTTTGAGAAGCAAGAGCCAGCGTAGTGTGTTTGAAGAGATACAGTTATTAACAGAATCCAAGCATCTTTGGGTGGGGACAAGAAGGCTCCATCATAAGTGCCCCCACAATGGACAGGGGGGTGGGATATAGGCCTCAGGCCCAAGGAGGGCTCTCACCATGGGCTCTGGGAGACCCACTGGTAGCTCCTGGCATGTGCCAGCCCTACTCTCCCAGTTTGCCAGATAGGACAGCTGGGGCAGTGTCCTAGCCCCTCTCCCCGTAAAGAGGCATTGCACCCCACCCCCACCTGCCGCCTTGGCTCTACCTCCTATGCCTCAGTGTCTCCTTGGAGCAACAAGAGGTCACGATGGGTCCTGTGTCTGGGGCCCTGTCTCCCGCTCCCCCTCTCCCAGCAGGGTCCTTGTGATCATTTCTCTAGTACAGCGGTCCCCAACCTTTTTGGCACCAAGGACCATTTTCTTGGAAGACTATTTTTCCATGGACAGGGGTGGGGTGGGGAGGAAGAGTAGGGGTGGGTGGGTGGGGGTGGTTTCAGGATGAAACTGTTTCACTTCGGATCGTCAGGTAATAGATTCTCCTAAGGAGCCTGCACCCTAGATCCCTCGCACGCACAGTTCACAGTAGGATTCGCACTCCTATGAGAATCTAATGCTGCTGCTGATCTGACAGGGGGCGGAGCTCAGGCGGTCATGCTCGCCCACCCACAGCTCACCTCCTGCTCTGCAGCCTGGTTCTTAATAGGCCAAAGACTGATACAGTCCGGTCCGCAGTGCAGAAGTTGGGGACCCCTGCTCTAGTAGATGTGGTCTCTCTTTTAAAAATTGTGCCCAGGCCTGGCGCAGTGGCTCACACCTGTAATCCCAGCACTTTGGAAGGCTGAGGCAGGTGGATCATGAGATCAGGAGATCGACACCATCCTGGGCAATATGGTGAAACCCCTTCTCTACTAAAAAACAAACAAACAAACAAACAAAAAACCGGGCATGGTGGTGCGCGCCTGTAGTAGGGCTCAAGAGGCGGAGGCAGGGGAATTGCTTGAACCCGGGAGGTGGAGGTTGCAGTGAGCCGAGATTGTGCCACTGCACTCCAGCCTGGCGACAGAACGAGACTCCGTCTCGAAAAAAAAACATTGTGCCCAGAGGTGGGCACAGAAGACACCTTGTCCTCTGACTCTGAACAGCCCCTAAGACCAGGTCCCACTTAATTGCTTTTCTCCTAAGGTCACCTGGTGTTCAGGAAAGAACTTCGGAGTGCCCCAGACACTGCCCCCATGGGAGCCTCACTCAGTTGAGGTCACCATCCCGTCATCTTAAGAGGAACACCACAGGTTAACCCAAGTGCTGCCTCTAGGCAGGAGATCTGCAGACACCTGGTCTGCATGGAACCTGGAGCACTAGTCCATAAGTGGAGCCTGGGAAGGGGACCTTGTCCTATCCCAGGACAGAGGAGAGAGCAAGTGAGTGCCGGGGTGCAGGGGCACACCTGGTCCATCAGCCCAGTGCAGGGAGTCCTGCCAATTTCAAAAGGCAAGGGTGGGGGCTTCAGGCCAAGTGGTCCTGTGCTCTCCCTATGGTGTTCCTAGGGAACAGGAAGATCATGGATGTGTGCACAGAACACACTGAGATAGCTTCATAGATAGGGTCTCCACACGCCCTCCTCAGTTCACCTGCCACTTCCATCACTCTTGTGCTTATGATGGTCCTGAACCAAACACTGAAGGTGCAGCAGTGGCCAAGAGCTGGCCTGGGACTCCTGACCACTGAGGAGCTGGATGTAGCGGGGTGAGTTGACGCCCACCCAGACACCCTGACCCGCAGTGTGCCCACTGTCCCCTGCAGGGACCTCCCTCTATGCCCCTCAGATTCCATCTCACTCTACTTTCAATCCATGACCCATTGCCTTGTGGGCCTCTCAGCATCCTGTGTACACCAAACGCTCAGGGAAAATTACTTGCAGGCTCTTCTCAGCCCTGAGTCAGAGGTGAAGACTCTTCTGCTGTCCTGTCATCAGATTCGTTCTCCAAACAAGCTCTCATCCCAGGCAGAGCTCGTTCATGTGATGCCCACTTTAGAGGTAGAGCTGGGGGAGAACAAGGTGTTCCCCCAGGGCTCCCTCGCCTGGGAATACAGCTCCTCCAGCTGGAGCCCCCATGCTCTGAAGCTAGAGCCTCACTTTCTCCCATCAAACTCTGGCTCTGCCCCTTCTCAGCTCTGGGATTTTGGTCAAATTCCTTACCTTCTCTGTGCTCAAGTTCCCCTATCTAGACAATGGGGATTGTTATGAAGGCTAAATGAAATAAACATGCAGTAACTAGCACAGTGTTTAGTGCATAGTGTGTAA